ACATGGGCTTAGCCGGTTGGTTTTGGGTCAACCACCCTCCTACTGCTAATTTTAAAATTTGATTATAATAATAAGAATATAAAGCATATTCATGAATGGGGTTAACGGGCTTTAACACAGTAATGGCAAAAGTAACACCTGGCGTACTCAGCCAAAGTTTACCATTAATAATAAAAGTAATAATGGTAATAATAATGGTTACTATTTTTATTATTTTAATATTTTTATTACGTGAAAATTTTTATTACAAAAGACATTCCTATGAACTAATGAAACACCCAAAGTATTATTTTCAATTTAGGCCTAGACTTACCTATGGGCTAAATGGGCTATAGTCCAGGACGACAGATTTAAGCTGAAGCAAGTTTTGGGAATAGGTAAAAAAATTCTGAAACAAAAGTAAAATAAACGGAACAAAGTTATATAATTACTCAAAACATGGTCTTAGCCGGGAGGTTTGGGTCAAACCTCCATCCTATTGGCAACTTTAAAATTTGATTATAATAATTGAAATATAAGGCATGGCTGCAGGCAGTTGTTATTTTCAAATCGATGGTGTTTATGGTAATTGGAGCTTTCGCCTGATGCATTTTTGCCAGAACAATGATTTACCCGAACGATTTACCCAATTGCATTTTCGCTCGAAAATAATTGATAATGATGATTATGATTCGCCCGATCATTTGAATATTCGCCCGAAGTCACTTTCGCCCAATCATTAAAGATAATACTTTGAAAATTTTATTATGAATTACAAATAAAATTTATTGAAGTTTTTTGTTTGGATGTTTTTTTGTCCAAAAGTTTTATACGAAAATTATATACGGAATGTTTTTTGTAATAATAATTTTTTCAGATTGATTTTGTTAAAGGTTTATGTTGGGGAGGTAACAACCACACACACACCCTCACACACACAATGCACAAAATTCTATAACATCCGTCATTTATTAGTTCCAGCTTTTGATTTGTATTAATCGGTCATTATTTTAAAGTAATTAAGATAGCAACATCACTTGGATGGGATTATTATTATGGGCGTGCCCCATAATGGGACGTTGCCGTGTTCACAAGGTGCTTCCATTTCAAGCGATCATGAGCTTCTCTCCAGGCCGAGTAAAGACCGTAGTTGATGATGGACAGGTCCTTTTCCATTGAGCGGAACCATGACTGTCTTGGACGGCAGCGCGGTTGAGTCCAGTTCGGTGGCGGTCGGTCTATGACAGCTTTTTAAGCCAGGTAATGATCTTCTATAAGACTAACACAAGCTATGTGACCAAAGAAGCTTAGACAACGCCTGAACAAGAGTGAGGAAACGGAGGGCTGCTGTGTTCTTATTCTCACCTCAACGTTGGTGTTATACAGTCAAACTTTGGTCGTCACTGAAATGCCCGAGTGCCATATACCACAATCCAGGGACCTCATACAATGATGATTCGACGCGAAATTTTAGTGTCACTACATATATATATGTTATGTGCAGGACACATCGCTAATTATAGTTTTATTGTTTATGGGCGATAATTGATTGTTAACGTGACCCTTATTGTGAACATGCTTTATTGTATTCGTTCAATTCGTTGATTATAGAACTTGTTACACGTTATATTTATTTAACCGTAATAAAATAGTATACGTGCATTACGCTTATTGTTGTCTAATTAGTTTAGTTGCAACTCTTCAAACCACGAAACACGACAGTGGCGCAGTCGACAAGGTCCCTGATTTACGGTGGATACAAATTCAAGAAATCGAAAATGAAGGAGATGATGAAGATGTTTACTGAAATGATGTCGAAGCAACAGTAAGAAATGGCAAAGATATTGCAATCTTTTCAAGCCACGCAGTACCGAAATTCAATCATTCCAGCCCGAAAAAAAGTTTTCAAAGGCTACATCAAAAGGTTTGAAACTTTCTTGCTGGCCAATTCAATCTCAAAGCAAAAGGCAGCTCAGGTATTTCTTACAAATCAGAGTTCGGATATATATAAAACCCTGGAGACGGTTTCAAAACAAATGTTTCCACCTCGTGATGTAAACTCATTGGATTTCAAGGAGATGGTCGAATATATGAATTCAGCTTTCAAACCTACAACTTTTCTGATTACGGAACGCTACAAATTCTGGACAAACCGCAAAAGAAAACCGGGCGAATCAGTTCAAGAATTAGCAAACCGAATTCGACAGTCTGCAGCTACATGTGATTTTCTTAATATTGAAAACCCATTAGATGAAGCGTTGAGGACAAATTTCATTTGCAACATTCAAAATGAAGCAATTTTAAAAGCTCTTTTCAGGATTCCAGAAGCTCAGCTTTTTTTCCCAAAGCTATCGAGATTGCGTATGAAATTGAAAGTGCAGCAATAGTAGCTAAAGATGCAGTCTATGGGGGTATGTCTCACAGTGATCCGGTTCTGCTGGTACATTCCAGAGGTAACACGGGGGTTCATGCAAAAGGGACGAAGAAAAATCCAAAAGGGGCTTTCAAACCAGGTAGGAATTTTGGAAATTTCCATCCAAATTTCAATTCGTCATGCCACAAATGTGAAAAACATGGCCACTGGACCTCAGATTGTTCCTCCAAAGGGATGAAATGCTCACACTGCAATAAAATGGGTCAAATAAAGCAAGTATGTTTTGCTGCCAAATTCAAAAGAAACGTCTTAACCATAAAAACTATTAAAGAAGATGATCAACTGCAGCAAGAGCTACATTTTAAGAACTTCAACAAAACTTTTGAAGTGGACAGTAGTGCCAGAGAAAATTTTTACGATGTCAGCGTCTGGGAAGATTTATGTTCCTCTCCTTTGATTCCGGTGAGTTCTCAGTATCGTTCAGCAACCGGCAATAATATCCCAGTCAGAGGTGCTTGCTCAGTAGTTGCCACGATTTCAAATAGTTTAGACTGGAAACCTATTAAAATTAACGTAGCAGACATTCTGGGTTTAAATTTAATCGGTCGAAGATCAATTAAAGATTTCGAAATAGATATCAACAAGATGTTGAGAGACCAGATAAATACAATTTTATGCACAAACTTTTCAAAGTTGACAAACGATTGTGAAAAGCTATTTCTGGAATTCAAAGAGATTTTTGATCCTAGTCTCGGTTGTCTAAAGAATGTTGAATTGGACATAAAATTCCAAGAAAATACAACACCAGTTTTCAGAAAACCACGAACTGTTTCTTTTGCATTACAAGACAAAGTAGATGAAGCTCTGGAAGATGGGGTGAAACGAGGAATTTGGAGCCCCTCTGATTTTAATGACTGGGGAACTCCTGTAGTCCCAATAATTAAGGTACAAACCCCAAAACTAATCTACGAATATGTGGTGACTACTCAGTTAATTCTCAACTTGAGTTTTACAGATACCCAATGCCTTTGCCTGAAGACCTCATGAGAAAATTAGCCAGGAGTTTGTATTACGCCAAAATCGATCTGGCCGATGCATACAATCAGATTCAACTTTCAAAAGAGAGCCAGAAACGCCTTGCTTTAAGCACGGAACACGGAAATGCAGATGTGTTGAGTCGCTTACCATCGGGTGGAGATCCAAAATTTGATGCTGCAGAGAAGCAACTGAATTTTTCAAAGGTGTGTACAGGTAAAAAAATTGATGCCGTAGTTTTAATGCCTCGACCACGACCAGAGAATGTTTCAGCATTAAAATCATTTCTTGGATCGGTTCAATTTTACAAAAAGTTCCTTCCAGGTTTGTCTAGCGTTGCGGAACCATTATATTGTCTGACAAGAAAGAATGAATTGTGGAAATTGACACCGAATCAAGAAAATTCATTTCAAGGTTTAAAGAGGATGATACTTTCAAGTGTGATGTTATCGGATTTCGACAAATCATTACCAGTGGAATAGCATGTGATGCTTTAGAAGTGGGTATTGGTGCCGTTCTATTCCATAGATTCCTAGATGGATCAGAACGTCCTGTTTTCAATGTTTCAAAGACACTTTCAAGTGCTCAGAGAAATTACAACCAGATTCATAAGGAAGCACTTGCAATTATTTTTGTCTTACAAAAATTTCATTCATACCTGTTTGGAAGAAAGTTCACAATTGTTTCGGATCACAGACCACTTCTGGCTTTATTCGACCCGAAGAAAGCTACTCCTAAACTGGCATTAAACCGACTGACAAGATGAGCTCTAATTTTACAACAATACGACTACACGATTAAATACAGGAAGACTTCAGAACACGGGAATGCAGATGTGTTGAGTCGCTTACCATCCGGACGAGATCCAAAATTTGATGCTGCAAAGGAGCAACAGGATTTTTCAAAGGTGTGTACAATTAGCTCAGTCAGCCAGAAATGTTGCATTTAGATCCAAAGTTGTTTGAGAATGAATCACAAAAGGATCCGTTTATTTTTCTGTCGGTAAATTCCTTCAGAAGGGCTGGCCAAGAGAAATTTTAAGCAAGGAAATTCAACATTTTATGAAATTAAAAAATTCCTTGAGTCAGGCAGGAGGCTGTTTATTGATGGGAAACAGAGTGGAAATTCCAGAATCTTTCAAAAAAAGCCCTTGAACTTTTACATCTGGGACACTTTGGCATGCAACGAATGAAGCAACTGGCATGATCAGCAATTTATTGGCCAAACATGGACAGAGACATCGAAAGATTGTGCAGAGAATGTTCATCATGTCAAGGACATCAGAACAATACTCCTAAAGCGCCCAAAAGGACTTTGACCTGTTATGGATAGACCTTGGGATAGATTACACATCGACCATGCCATAAACTTTATGGGAACAAATTGGCTCGTGATCGTGGATGCTTTTTCTAAATACCCTAGCATCCATCCAACAAAAAAAATTACAGCATCGTCAACTATTGACTTGCTAGAACAGGAGTTTACACATTTTGGATACCCGCTGCAATGGTAACTGATAATGCTACAACTTTCACTTGTGAGGAATTTTAACTCTGTTTGAAAGAGAGGGGGATTCAGCACCTTACAGGTGCCCCATACCAACCGGCGACTAATGGTCAGGCAGAGAGGTTTGTTTAAACTTTTAAAAAGTTTATGGCAAAATCAACATTGCCGACCGAAGCTGCCTTACGAGAGTTCCTTATGCAATACAGAAGAACTCATTTGTCAACAGGTCTTTCACCAAGTCAATTACTGCATGGCAGGCAAATACGAACTAAAATTGATATTCTCCAACCAATTTCAAAAGGAAAAGAGAGGGAAGAGAACTACCATAAGAAGAAAGGTTTGATAGGTCAACCGTGTTATGTCAAGTACTATGGCCCAAGAAGAGATCGCCAAACCAGATGGGTTCCTGCAATAGTTTTTCAAAGATTAGGTCGAAGACATTTATTGGTAAAATCGATCCCACATGGTCTTCTATGGAAACGAAACGTAGAGCAAATTTGTCCTAAATACGGTGCCAACCAAGATGGCGACCCAGGGGAGATCACTGCGACCCAGTCCCAATTTGACTCAAGGCATTCAATCGTCAAACCTACCACGCCTGAAAGTAGTCAAGTGTTTTTCAACCCGATATCTCTGCCTAGAAGATCGGATCGTATACGCTATAAGTTTGCCCACAAACTTTAGTTTGTTGAGGAGGTGTTATGTTCAGGACACATCGCCAATTATTATTCTATTTTTTATGGGCGATAATTGATTGTTAACGTGACCCTAATTGTGAACATGCTTTATTGTATTCGTTCAATTCGGTGATTATAGAACTTGTTACTCGTTATATTTATTTAACCGTAATAAAATAGTATACGTGCACTACGCTTATTGTTGTCTAATTAGTTTAGTTTCAACTCTTCAAACCACAAAACACGACAATATATATATATATATATATATATATATATATTTTACAATATTTTATAAATTCTACCGAAATTATTTCGAAATTATATATATATATATATATATATATATATATATATATATTGGTAATAGACCATAATTTTTACAATATTCTATAAATTCTACCGAATGTTTGGCGTTAATATGTTTGTAGTTCGTTTTTTCGATTTTTCTCACTAAAGTTTTTTGGTGAACGTTTAGTACATTAAAATTCAAAATAAACTTATTTTTCGAATTCATGCTGCAAATAAGGCCATATTTCGATTCCGAATGAATCATCGTCAGTGCTCCTTGTTGTATATATAGGGAAATATTGACTTTGTCAAGATTAACTTTGACGTTGTAAAAATTAACTTTAGTGTTGTAAAATTGAACTTCGATGCGAATTAGGTGTCAGGTTTCTTAATTGGCTGGTCATCTTCTTTGGTCTCCTTTTCTTCATCGATAGCATCATATTCTTCTTTGTCACTATTTACGATGCTAGTTTTTATTACTTCTTTGTTTTCGTTGTTGGTTAAACGCCGGGTTGGAAGTGAGGTTGTCATTTTTTGTTGTATATTTATTTTTGGTTTATTGATGTCGATTAGGACTGCTTCTGCATTTTTAAGATGCGTGTAGTTGCTGTTCTGTTATATTACTTTGGTGTTGCTGTCGAGGATTTCACGGCTAATTGTGATTGAGTGTGTTGAGTCCAAATGAGATTTGATAACACCACTCTGTTTATGCATCGTAAGCTTTCTAGTCAGTGAGATAGTAGTAATCCTGATATATGAGTCATGTTGACGTGCACAGCCGTCAAAGGGGCAATTAAATTCATATATTCCGTGATTACGCTTTAACTCAGAGTTATCTCTAGGACTGCAGTTGTTTTTCAGTATTAGGTGAGACGTCTTTTTATTGTTGTAATAAATTCGGAGTTTAACTTTACTTTTTTGTTGTATATTTATTTTTGGTTTATTGATGTCGATTAGGACTGCTTCTGCAATTTTAAGATGCGTGTAGTTCCTGTTCTAGTATATTACTTTGGTGTTGCTGTCGAGGATTTCACGGCTAATTGTGATTGAGTGTGTTGAGTCCAAATGAGATTTGATAGCACCACTCTGTTTATGCATCGTAAGCTTTCTAGTCAGTGAGGTAGTAGTAATCCCGATATATGAGTCATGTTGACGTGCACAGCCGTCAAAGGGGCAATTAAATTCATATATTACGTGATTACGAATATTCGATATTCGAATTCATGCTGCAAATAAGGCCATATTTCGATTCCGAATGAATCATCGTCAGTGCTCCTTGCTGTATATATAGGGAAATATTGACTTTGTCAAGATTAACTTTGACGTTGTAAAAATTCAAATTGCATTTGACACGTGGTTTAAATGTAATATAGGTGAGTGTGGGCAACATAATTCTGAATATATTGGTATGACGACGACCAAGCTGTCGAGAAGATTCACGATGCACGTACAAACAGGTATTTTTCAAGAAGTTCTTTTATTAATTTAACGTAGTTATTATATTTTTGTTGTCTAAAAATCTATAAATAACTCCCTTGAGTGCTTCACAAGCTTTCCTCTATTCCCTCTTCAAAATTTCGTCAAATGCAGTATCTTTCAAAATTTTAGGTATTTGTGGCTCAACAGAAAAAAAATCTCCTTAACTTTTACATAATTTAGTTATGGAAATTTGTTTCTTAAGCTTTTAAAAATCTGTCTTTCTTAGTTCATGTCTTTGACAAAATATTTCATTAAGCCCAATTTAATATGTATTGGTGGTAAAAGAACATATTTTTGATCCACGAGTGGTTCCGCAATAACAATTTTTTCATCTTTGCTGAAATTTCTTGCAAGCCAATCTTCTTTCATATAATGTAAATTTCTGTTCCTACTGTTCCACATAGATAAAAAACAGCAGTAGTTAGTGTAACCTAATTGCATTCCTAAAAGTATAGCAATGACATTTAGATCACCACCAATTTTTCATTTGTGCTCATTGTAGTTTATTGAGTTGAGAAGAGCCTACACGCTTACATAAGTTTCTTTCATGTGAAGTGCATGACCAATAGCAACAAAAGGAAACTGGTTTCCATTATGCAAAAATACATCTTTCAAGCTTAACTTAAAAGAGTCTTCATTCATTTGGATCATAATTCAAATTGAGACGATACATTAATTCATTGACATCAATAAATGAAACAAGATTATTTTTTCTTTCAAATAAAAAAGCAGATTCTCTTGTCGTTTCCTGTAATGAGAAATTTTGACATCAAATTGGAAAAAATTCTATTGCTTTAGTCTTGATCCTAAAAGATCTGCTTTTTCTTGTGACAAGTCTAAGTCTCGAACAAGATCATTAAATTCTGCTTGATTCAATTTGTGTTGTTTATCATCTGCTATCACAAATCAAGGTTTTTTATAATAATAATAACAATAATAACAAAGTTTAAAGTGGTTTAATAGACTGGCATCTGTGTAAGAACACTACATTATAAATGTCCTAGTATCATAGCTTTATTTAAAAATTGTTAATAAAATCCACTAAAATAATTTTATTGTTCAGCTCGTTCCAGGCGTTTACCAAATTGCTGCTGAAGAATCTTTGTTTTATTGGATTTTCTGTTTTCTTGAAGAGCTTGTATCTATGACCTCTTAATCTTTTTTTTTCTAGTTGAAAAAACCTGGTGAACGGTGTTTCTTCTTTTCCAGTTATTAACTTATATGTTTGAATCAGATCTCCTCAGCATCTTCTTCTTTCTAGTGTTATTAATCAGCATTCTTTCAGTCTATCCCTATAATTTAGTTTTCCAATTCCTTCCATCATTTTGGTTACTCTACGCTGTACCCGTTCAGGAATGTGTTTGTTTTTTTGCAGATTTAGACTCCAAACCTTTGAACAGTAATCGAGATAAGGGCAAACTAATGTTTTATACAAATTTATAATGATCGACTTTTCTCTGCTTACCACCGTTCTTCTAATACATTCAGGTATTTGATATGCTTTAGCTGCTGCCAAATTATATTGTCTTGATGTTTTTCTGCTTTTATGAATAGTGATTCCGAGGTCCTTTTCTTACCATAGCATAACTTTACATTTGTCTATGCTAAATGGCATTTGCCAATTTTCAGACCAATCAATTATCTTCTTCGTCCAATTATAAGTTAAATCCCGGTAGTTACCTATCCCATAGCTAAACTTCTCAACAAAATCCTAACTCCGCATACCTATAATGACTATAATATACAATCCTCCAAAGAATTCATATCGGATCCAATCATCTCCCTTCACTTGAAGTAGAATCATTGTTTACCAATGTTCCCATCAATGATACCATCGACATAATAATCAACACCATTTAACATTCTAATCAAATCCCATTAAAAATACTTAAACACAAGCTAAAGTCATTGTCGCAAATTTGCGCCAAATTCGCAGCGTTCTACAGCCCAAATGGAAAACTATAAAAGCAGATAGACGGAGTTGTCAGGGGCTCACTTCTAGGTGTTCTTTTAAACAGGAAGCTAACAAACGCGGAACATGCTGTGGGTTTCATCAATAATTGCATATTATATATAAATATATGTATATATATATATATACATATATATATATATAACATGCAATTATTGATGAAACCCACAAGTATATATATATATATTATATATATTTATATATATTTGAAAAAATATAGACTTCGTTATAGCAATTTTCAAAAACGCTATGAAATTTTAACCAATATTCATATCAAAATAACAAGAATGATAAAAAATGAGATATAATAAAAAAAGGTATGTCTTTAATTGTCTTTTAAATTCAACAATGTTCGTTCCAGGCATTCTGAGAGCTGACGGCAAGCTGTTTCATACGACAGAGCTTGACACAGCAAAATCACATGATCCTATCTTAAGCTGTCTATGACGAACCACAAGAGAGTTCGAATCGTCATACCTCAGACACACACCAGATGCAGTCGGCGTTTTTAACTTCAGTTTATCTGATAA